CCCTCACTGAGCTTGACCTTGTGAAGATGAAAAGTGTCTAATAATGTCAAGGTGTAAGAGCTTATTCTTGTTTTATCAGTTGTTGTTTCCACATATCAGCATAGTGTCCATCTTCACTCAACAATTCCTCGTGTCTAAAATTACAAAACAAAACCATAATCAACATACAATAATAAACTAAGGCTGCGATTACATGTCAATGCAAACTCCAACTTAAACGCAAACTCAAAGATAGTGGACCACAGCCATATACGCCCACCACGGCATGCAGATGGTAAATGTTCAAGATTTTGGGGCAAGGGCAATAACTCTGTTTCTAATGGTCGAAAATAGCTCAAACTTGATCTTCGTTTTATGAATATTTATACACATACCGAATTTCATTTGATTCCATCAAAAAATCTAGTTTTTTAGAGCTTTTACAAGCAAATGTTGACGGACCGACGCACGGACAGGGGTGCCGACAATATACGTCCACATAGACCAACCTTTAATTCTTATATTTATATTCAGATACTTTTATTAATACAATTTTCACTGTTTTATATGATCAGTTATTTGAATTTACCACAAATCTTAGATTACGTCATTGTTGTGTTTTGATGATGTCATAGTATCACGTGATAAACTACAGTTTATAGAAAAATAAACACCAGTTTGTGTAACTTGTTCATTGAAGGGAGTGATAGTAGAAATGGAAATAAATTAACTTACGTTCCCCGTTCAATAATTTCACCTTCGTTGACGACTAGAATTAAATCAGCATGTATAATCGTAGACAATCTATGTGCCACGATGATTGTAGATTTATTTTGACAGATTCTTGACAATGATGATTGGATATTTCGTTCTGTTTTGGTATCCAATGCTGACGTAGCCTAAAAAAGTGAAAAAATATGAAAAATCAAAATTTGACTGTTTTTTTTAAAGGTGACACCCCATTTAGAAAATATGCTTACTAAAATTTTGCTGTAGTTTTGCTTATTACTGTATTTGATTGTCGTCTGCTAGGCGATTAGGTGCCATGGGTTCGAATCCATGGGTTCGGTAAGAACAATTCTTATGCCTGTGCCAGTGCTTCTGGGAGTCAGTCCAGTGTCGGCGGAACCCCACCATCACATATTTACTTCTGATGGGCGATTAGGTGCCGTGGGTTTGAATCCTTCTCAAGGTAAGAACAATTCTTATGCCTGTGCCTGTGCTTCTAGGAGTCAGTCCAGTGTCGGCCGAACCCCACCATCACATATTTACTTCTGATGGGTGATTAGGTGCCGTGGGTTTGAATCCTCCTCAAGGTAAGAAAAATTCTTATGCCTGTGCCAGTGCTTTCGAGAGTAAGCCTAGTGTTGGCTCTCACCCTTTAATACCTAACCCTTATCCTCCTCAAGGTAAAAACAATTCTGATGCCTGTGCCAGTGCTTTAGCGAGTTGGTCCAGTGATGGCTTTCACCTCTTAATACCTACGCCTTTTTTTCTCATTCTAACTAAGAGGTAGTATACCTTTAAAAACATACCTCATCAAGCAATACTATGGACGGTGCCTTTAATATAGTTCTCGCTATCGCAGTTCTCTGTTTCTCTCCACCACTTAATTTTAAACCTCTTTCACCGACGACGGTATCATAACCTACAAAATATTCAAATTATTTCATATTTATATGAACGTTCAGGAAGTTTGGTCAAGGACCAGCTGGTAGAAAGGACCCCATATATCAAGAAGTTTGACCAAGGACCAGCTGGTAGAAAGGACCCCATATATCAAGAGGTTTGACCAAGGACCAGCTGGTAGAAAGGACCCCATATATCAAGAGGTTTGGCCAAGGACCAGCTGGTAGAAAGGACCCCATATATCAAGAGGTTTGACCAAGGACCAGCTGGTAGAAAGGACCCCATATATCAAGAGGTTTGACCAAGGACCAGCTGGTAGAAAGGACCCCATATATCAAGAGGTTTGGCCAAGGACCAGCTGGTAGAAAGGACCCCATATATCAAGAGGTTTGGCCAAGAACCAGCTGGTAGAAAGGACCCCATATATCAAGAGGTTTGACCAAGGACCAGCTGGTAGAAAGGACCCCATATATCAAGAGGTCTGGCCAAGGACCAGCTGGTAGAAAGGATCCCATATATCAAGAGGTTTGGCCAAGGACCAGCTGGTAAAAAGGACCCTATATATCAAGAGGTTTGACCAAGGACCAGCTGGTAGAACGACTAGACGCTTTTTCCATGTCAGCCCCTCTTACCTGTATCACTGACAAGGGGAAACTGGGTTGAAAAATCTGAAGGTATTATCTCGACCTATGCTAGGATTGAACCCTGGACCTTCAGGTTAGCGAACTAGTGTGTAACTCACTGACAGGGGAAACTGGGTTGAACAATCTGAAGGTATTATCTCAACCTATGCTGGGATTGAACCCTGGACCTTCAGGTTAGCAAGCAAGTATCTAACTCACTTACAGAGGGAAACCAGGTTGAAAAATCTGAAGGTATTATCTTGACCTATGCTGGGATTGAACCCTGGACCTTCAGGTTAGCGAGCAAGTGTCTAACTCACTGACAGGGGGAAACTAGGTTGAACAATCTGAAGGTATTATCTCAACCTAAGCTGGGATTAATCCCTGAAACTTTAACTCACTGAGCCACCGTGGCTCCTTTACCTTTAGGAAAAGCCAGAATTCGGTGATGGATATCTGCAGCAGTTGCGGCCTCATAAACTTCACCGTCCATAGCAGTTACTCGTCCGTAACGAATATTATATCTTAAAAAAATATAATAATAAGTTAACTTATATATAGTGGTAATGAAATGAAATGAATGGAGTTTTACGTCCTACTTTTCTGCACCATGTGGGCTAATGAAGACTGGCAACGCCACGCAGGGTGCAATGAGGGAAATTTCACCAGGACAGCGGCATTAGCCTGCTCTTTTTCAATTTCCAACTGTCGAGGGATCTTTAACATTTTGTGAGTTCTGCACTTTCAGAATTCAGAATTCTGATTCCATGAATGCAGACGTGCCAAATTGACCAATCGAGCGCCTCCTATGTTAGCGACCAGGTATACTTACCTAATATCATTGTTAAATAAAACAGTATCTTGTGGAACTACCCCAATAACACTTCTTAAAGACTCCTGAGTTACCTGAAACAATAGCAGGAACCATTTTCAAAACTTTATTCAAAGACATCCATTCTGAACGACTCAACGTTTTTTCCATGTCAGCCCCTCTTACCTACATCACTGACAGGGGGAAACCAGTTTGAAAAATCTGAAGCCTACTTTAGTTCGATTTTTCAGATAGCCTGTAGCACATAGGACCTCGGTTTATTGTCCCATGCGAACGACTAGAGACTTTTTCCATGTCAGCCCCTCTTACCTACATCACTGACAGGGGAAAACTGGGTTGAAAAATCTGAAGCCTACTCTATTTCAATTTTTCAGATAGTCTGTAGCACACAGGACCACGGTTTATTGTCTCATCTGAACGACTAGACACTTTTTCATGTCAGCCTCTCTTACCTACATCACTGACAGGGGGAAACTGGGTTGAAAAATCTGAAGCCTACTTTAGTTCGATTTTTAAGATAGTCTGTAGCACACAGGACCACGGTTTATTGTCTCATCTGAACGACTAGACACTTTTTCATGTCAGCCTCTCTTACCTACATCACTGACAGGGGGAAACTGGGTTGAAAAATCTGAAGCCTACTTTAGTTCGATTTTTAAGATAGCCTGTAGCACATAGGACCTCGGTTTATTGTCCCATGCGAACGACTAGAGACTTTTTCCATGTCAGCCCCTCTTACCTACATCACTGACAGGGGGAAACTGGGTTGAAAAATCTGAAGCCTACTCTATTTCAATTTTTCAGATAGTCTGTAGCACACAGGACCACGGTTTATTGTCCCATCTGAACGACTAGACACTTTTTCATGTCAGCCTCTCTTACCTACATCACTGACAGGGGAAAACTGGGTTGAAAAATCTGAAGGTATATCT